TGTGTGTGTGTGTGTGTGTGGTTTTCCTCTACAGTACAAGAATGAAACTATCCATGTGTTACTTATTCTGTTCTATGTCTATGAAAAAATGTCCCTGGATTGATCTCTACTCTCTCGTCTAACTCTGGCAATCCCTACCTAGCCATATAATCTGATGATCTATACTTCAATGTGTATTCTCTCATGCCTTTATAATACCTATCCAAAGCATGGAGGGACAGATGTTAGCTCATTTTCAGGTATAGGTAACGTTAAAGAACAACTACTAAAGAAGAGGTTTCTTGATTGAGAAACAGAGAAACACTGAACTGAGGATCAAGCTGACATGTATTCAAACTCTTTGTGGGCAGTGAGGTGGCACAATGGATAGAGCACTAGGTCTGGAGTCAGACAGGTCAGAGTTCAAATCTAGCCTCAGACACTTGCGAGTTGTGTGATGTTGGGCAACACTCTTAATCTCTGTCTGCCTCAGTAAAATGGGGATCATGGTAGCAGCCACCTCACAGTATTGTGAGGATCAATAATGTGAGATATCAGTGTTATGAAAGAGTATTTCTAAAGTACTTAGCAGAGTGCGCCTGCCACATAGTAAGCAATTAATAAATACATGTTCCTTTCCCTTCTTCCTTCCTTATATCCCATAGTTGTTTTCAGCATTGACAAAATGTTTGTAAAGTTCTTAGAACAGTGCCTGACACATGGTAGGTGTTCAATAAATTCTTGCTTACTCTTTCCTTCCTGTGTGACCCTGGAAGGCCCTGGGGAAAATTTTTAACCTTTTACATCTTAGTTTCTTTATCTGTAAAATGAAGAGGGTTGGGGGTGGCGATACTTTCTAGTCTCTAAGTTCTCATTCACCTCTGAATTCCTATAAATCAATTTTTAAAACAATCTGGTATTCATTATACATTGATCCTCTAATTTCATTCACAAGAAATATAGCCTATCAAAACCTTAGAATTGGGGTTGTGTTGGTTTTTTGTTTGTTTGTTTTGTTCTTAGAATGGGGCACTATTTGAAAGATCAGCTTTACTTTATTCTCAATACTGAATGTTTCACATGTCCTGAATTTAGAAATCTTCCCATTCGGTTACATTTGACCATTTATTCCTAAATCATTGTTTAGAACCATTGGTTGATCCTAAACTCTACCCTGAGTGTCTTAATTATAGAATTATGGGGGGAAATTAATTTCACCTATAGTTTTGTTTTCAGTAGACCAACATGATCCATTTAAGTAATTGAAGGAAAAAGTAACTTCAATTTTTTCTTCCTAATAAGTGAGAGCAAGCAATGTTAGTAAGACCTACTTATTTCAAACATTTACTTTCTTCTTGGGTGCTCATAGAATGCTCTATCATATTTATTTTTAAATGAGATTTATATTTTACTTCTTCCCCCTTGAGTAAGGCTGTTGTGGTGGATATGAGGCAGTACCTGACTTAGAGTTGCTTATGCACTTCATATGTAGTTATGCAAAAAGAGATTGAACTGGAAGCAATGAAATTCTAAACCTCAGAGTGTGAGCTGATTGCTCCCAAGAGATAAAAAGATGGAGCTCTTCCTGCTGAAATAGCATTTCACAATTAGCCCAAGCAGCATGCATTTTTTTTGTGTGTGTGTGTTTCTAGCTACAGCTAGATTTGAGAGAAATTTCATAGTGTACCAATGCTTGGATATCAGCTTCATTAGAGAAGCTAGTAAATTCTAGCACTGGCACAATTTACAGTCTAGCCAGAAGAAAGAGAGGCAATTATGAGGCATGGTGGTCCATCCCTCACACGGCAATAGGAGGTGTTTGCTATTGTTTGTTTTGTTCTGTTTTCTTATTTCTTTTGCTACTTTGAGTTTCCCTAGGGTACTACCTCTGTGTCCTCAGAGTGATTGCCCTTTTGGGGAGCTTTTTTAACTAAAGTAAAAGATATTTAAGAGGTACAAAAAGTAGATGTGGATGAAAAAGATAACCTAGATAATAATTATATTAATTGAATAATTGAGATGAATAATTAATATCATTAATTAAAATTATTAATGTGAATTGAAATAATTTCTACTGCTATAATATCAGACTGGGAAGTTTCTACCCTAATTCAATTATATTCACTTTCTGAAGAGAATAATCTCTCAGGCCTTCAGCCATCACCTAATCTATACCTCAATTCCAGGCTCATGTCACTAGCAACCTACTGGACTTGACCAGTTAGAAGCCCCCTGATAACTCAATTTCAGTGTCTAAATCCTGAATGATGATAAAGATTCTGAGAGGCTGAGATTTGAAAGGAGTATATCACAAACGTAGAGGATAGTCCATGGTAAGACACGGAGACAGAAGGTGGAATGCCAAAATCAGACAATATCTAGCAGGCCAGTTTTACTGGAACATAAAGTGAGTGAAGTAGGAAGTAAATCTGGGAAGGCAGCATGAAGCCAGGTTATGGACAACTTTAAATGCCAGAATGATCTTATATTTTAATCATAGAGAAAGTATAAAGCCAGGGTCTAACTTTGGAGTCTTCTTTGAGTCTTCTGTAGTCTTTATCTCATATATCTATTGAGTTATAAAGTCCTGCCATTGTTTCTTCCATTATAATATACTACAAATTACTCCCTTCCTCTTCACGTCTCCACTACTGCAACTTGGGTATAGTCTCCTATGTGCTTACTTCTAACATCTGTTCAATAATTTCTTCTTGGTTTCCTGATTTTAGGTTCTCTACAACTAAACTATCCTACAAATTGCTTCCAGTGGAGTAGGGAATGCAGGAAAGGGGAACTATGGGAAGGAGATATACTGTGATGGGTAAATGAAGTGTATGCAACCAATATATTACAATACCATTTCAAGACTTTCTTTGGCCTGATATTTTCACCAGTGGCTGAAGGGATAGAATAGAGATAAATGTGATCATAAATTTCAAAGCAGAAATAGAAGAAAATTGGTGCAATGGAAAGAATGATAAAGCATTTATTAAATGCTTACCATATACCAAACACTATCCCAAGTTCTGGGGATACAAATACAAAAGCATCGGCCTAGATCTCAAGGAACTTGTCTTCTAATCAGGGAAACATCGTATACAGGGGAATGATAACCAGAGAGGGGCCATTTTGGTCCAGAAAATTACAGAGATGATGCATGTAGCCACAAAGGAGTGAGAGTCAGGGGGCAGGGCAGAGGGGGAGTGGGAAACAATATGACAATGAGGTTATTATCAATTAAATTGTAGAAGATGAGGCCAGAGCAGAAGGTATGAAGTGAAGTAAGGATAAGGAATTTCTGAAAATAGTGTTCTGGGAGAGGTACTCATCAATCAGGAGAGGTACTCATCAATCAGGAGAGGGAGGCTCCAGGGCTGAATTCCACCCAGGATATCTGGTGTGATCAGCAAAGTAATAGTGAGAAAGTTGTATAAGAGCTACCCTAAGAAAAGGGAGTGACGTAAAGCATTGCTGGGGTATCTAAACTATTGGATTGAAGTTAAAGAAGCTGGGTTCAAATCCTAGCTTCTCTACTTAATTACCAGTGTGACCTTTGGGCAAATCATTTAAACCTTTCTGGGCCCCACTATTTCTCTGTGAAACTGATGGTTTGGACTATATAATCTCTAAGGTCTCTTCCAGGTTCAAATCTCTGATCCTATAATAATGATCCTATGAACCTATATTCCAACTAACTGTGAAAAGTTAGAGAAGTGGGTTCCTATAAACACTATAATATGAGGTGGCTGGGTGGTACAGTGGATAGGGCACCAGCCCTGGAGTCAGAAGACCTGAGTTCAAATCTGGCCCTCAGACACTTGACACTTCCTAGATCCTGGGCAAGTCACTTAACCCCAATTGCCTCGCAAAACAAAACAAAACAAAACACTGTATAATACAAAATATAACAGAAACAAAGCACATCACATAGACTACTTTTCCCAATACATCAGTCAACCAAATTTATTGATTGATTACAATATAAAGCATAGATTTTGGAAGGTAAGAAACAGACTCAATCATGGTTTATTTTCTTAATAAGCATACTGTGTCACTAGAAATATACATACATATATATATTTTACATAAAGACAAAACACAAAGTCAAAAGTTGTGAAAAAACAACATACAGGTGAATAAAAAGTAAAGTGGTTAATTCAAGGGCTATGTAACTTCAGAAAGCTGGTGGAGAGAACTCAGTCAACAAACATTAAATATTTATGTGCAAGTCACTGTACTAAGCAACAGGACACGAAGAAAGATGAATCCCCTCCCCCCTATTCCACACCCACAGAAGTCCCTGCCCTCAAAAAGAGTACATTCTACTAAGGATGAGGGTGTGTGATTAAGTGCCTGTAAGATATACACAGAATATATGGAAAATATATGAACAAGAAAGGCTCAGGGAACCAATCAGTTTCTCATAGAAAATGGGTTTTGAATTGATTCTTGAAAGTAACCAAGGAAACAGAGACAGAGGCGAAGAGACAGAGCATTCCAGGCATGGGAGACAGGTTGGAACAGAAGCCTAGAACTTTTGAAGAGTAGATAAAGGATTTGTGATTAAACAGAAGTGAGGTCTGAGGCAGGGCATAACAATCTTCAGGTATACACAACGTATTATTAAGATTGTGGTTAAATCTGCAGGACAAAGTAAGAGGAAAAAGATTCGGATGTAGCAAGAGAATTGGATTTAGAAACACATTTCCTAAATAGAAGGCTTTTGAGACACTAGTAGACTTTGAGAGCTTGTTAATCATTGGCTAGAGTTATCATTCTACAATAATGTCACCTTCATGTAATCTTTGTAGCCATTTATTTTGTGGTTCTGTAGGCATCAATACAGGAATTATCTAAATATTGTGATGGTGGCACACTTTTGGGAAAAAATCAAAATGCAAATGTTTGTATTGATTTTATAATTAAAGGAATAAGCCCCTATTCTCTACCTCTCCAGCTCGGTTTTAGAGTCAATTACTTCTTGCTCCTTTCTGACTAAGTCTTTTTTTCTTTATCCGCAGGCGACTTGTATATAGGAGGAGTCGCCAAAGAAATGTACAAATCATTGCCAAAATTAGTCCATGCCAAGGAAGGTTTTCAAGGCTGCCTGGCATCAGTGGATTTAAATGGACGGCTCCCTGACCTCATCTCTGATGCTCTTTTTTGCAATGGACAGATAGAAAGAGGATGTGAAGGTATGACATCTCCATTTTCACACACTAGAAATTTCTGCTGTGATATTGGAAATAAGTACAAAAATTACTAGCTAGGAAAGTATCTTTGCACATGCTTCCCCTTCACTTTCTCCCCTCACAAAAAAAAATGGCATACAGGAAATCTTTAGAATTTTTTTTTTTTACTTTTCTTCTCATTATATCAACTTTGACTTTCCTTCGGCTTTTTGGAATCCCAACAGAAATGCTTATACCTCATTAGGAATTATGTGTTTACACATATTGTTAGTTTCCAATATTATGTTTTCTTCAAAGAGTGTTTTTAAAGTTCACCTAATCATTGCTATCTTTCTCTTATAACTCACCTCACTTTAGCATAACAAATCATTGCCTCTGAGGATGAAAAAAAACAAACAAACGTATATTTACATTAAGACTGATATTTACAATCAGTCTGAGCATATTGTTTTAAATACCCCTTCAAATAGGCTAGAGTTAGAAAATAATTTCTGATACCCTCTGTCTCTAATGGACATTTGACTACGTGAGCATTTTCTCTTAATGTTGTCAATAGTGGCTGCTCTATGTCCCATTTGTTCTATGTACACTGCCTGAATTAATCTGAAGTGATAACATCCAGTTCAGAAGTGTTCTCAAGCACACCTCTATCTGAGTCATTTGGTAGAGTACTTTTTTGAATCCTGCCTTTATTTCAGAGTTGTTTTTTTTTTTTCAATTCAGCCCATCAGATTATTTTAACCAATTCTCCCTCCATAAATGTAATTTATTCACTTATCCTGGAGTTAGCTGCTCTGGTCTACTATATTTGTTGCTGTTCTTCCTTTAACTTTGGGGGCACTTTTGAAATTTTAGTCTCTTACAAGGAAAGTTCATGCTAAGGGAAAAGGAAAAAGAATCCTTATTCTTATCCTTAAATCCTTGAGTATATATCACTACTCTCTTTTGCTCAACCAAAACATTGACTGTTTCACACATGGCAACTTGAAAATGAGATAGAATTACTTTTGCCCATTCCTTATGGTTTAATTACTAGATACAGAATTACCTTGGGTTTAATTGCTAGACTCAGAGTTACTTTGCTTTGTGAAATTCAGGGATTCCAAAAAAATTGTTTCTATTTTAAATAAAATCACATTTTCACCACACTGATAAGTCTATTTAGAGGAAACCTGTAATTAGGGTGTGTGTGTGTGTGTGTGTGTGTGTGGAAGAGAGAGAGAGAAATGTGAATAATTATCACTAATTTATATGCTTTATAATTTCAATTGTTTACGTATCAAGTTTTACCAAGCCAGATACACATATATTTTTTTTTCTACTTTTAATGTACTAACACAGGGGGAAAAATCTCTCCTTCAAATGAATAAACTCCTGTGATTAAATACATAGAACATAAGGCATAAAGGAAATGATCTAGAGCTGGGGGACACAATTCATGAAATTGAATGGAAGACATAATTCAAGAAAAATGGGAAAACTCTTCAAAAACAAAACTAATGGAGAACTTGTAGTGATTTAAAGACAGAATTCTGCCAGCAGTTTTAAAACAGCCTCTTGCCCTAGAGACAGGAGAGGGAAGAATTGAGAGAGATATTTTATTCCCTCATTATTTACCAGGGTAAGAGCTTCCTGGTGGAATTATTTTATAATAGTTATATTATTTATATTATTTGCCAGAATGGTGTAATATGTAACCTAGTTCAGAGGACTTATTATATAATCTCTTATTTACCTTGCCTATTAATCATTTTTAGTAATTCAATGGCATATGGCATTGCCCCCTGCCCCAGATTGGTCTTTTGGGGATTCCTTAGATATCTGACCAAATCCTTTTAACATAGAGTACTAGGCATCAGTGTCTACTTTTCTCCTTCTAATATTCCTTTGATATCTGGCCAAAAAAATCCCCTTTGACCCTTATTTTTTCTCCAGTTTTCTCATGCCCAAACACTTCTTTATTCACAGTATTTCAAAACTTTGATTTCTCAACCTCCATACTTCCCTGACGATTTTCTTCCCATTTATAGGTTAACATCTTTGCAACACAATTCAGTGTTAATTCCAGGCTCTAGGACTATTAGGAATAACATCAGTTATAACAACTACAAACATAATCAAAGAAATATACATTATGTTTTTGTATTTGCTAATCAAATTCTAGATCCTGAAGAAATGAGCTCTCTAAACTTCCCCTTAGCATTGCCCTTAATATTCTTGAAATTCATATCTCCAAACCAAATTGGCATCACTCATCTTCCAAATTGCCTGGAAAATTGTAAACGATATCATCAGTACAAAAGCTTATCATGATTCTATATCTTTCTCGCCTACCAAGAACATTTCTCCCTCTGCCTATCTAGGGATGGAAACATTTCCCAGACTCCATTCAATAGTCACTAGTCTCCAATCATGGGAAACCCACTTTAGTGATGATTCACTAATATCATTCTCAGGTTCCAACTCTGCTAGAGAAGGTCATACCAATTTCAAACTGATCTTCCTTTGCCTATAAGAGAGGATAGTGTTAGATTATTATAATTCATGACCAGTTTCAATCTGATTTAGTATCTAACCAAGATGCAGTTTTCACATGTAGTAAAGGACAAATCTTCCTTATTTCCCCACAGCAAAAACTGTCTTTCATTTGCCTTCCTTACTTTGTCATCTTGTTCCCTGATGTTTTTATATGCTTAATACAAAAGTCCTTGTGACTTGTTGTCTCAGTTTAATTCAGTGATAAAATAAGTGGGGCATTATGTAAGGAAATGTGCAAATAAATTCAGGGATAGGTCATGTGCAAATACCTGCAGATGTTTACATGGTGCTTCTCGAAAATGTGTGAGAAGATGAATAGGATGAAAAATATGTCTTGTCAGACACTGGGTTGTATCATCTGTAATTCTCAGTGAGATCAAATAGCAAAATGTTTCAAATGGTTCTTTTTTTCTCCCAAATCTAAATTAAGCATAATCATCTATTGGTGTGCCCCTAACCTTTCATGTCTTAGATGCCATTATCTTTGCTTGATACAGATGAAGAATTAGTTTTAAGACTAAGAGATGAACATTTGGATTGCACTTTGTCAACAGTTTTGCATTCATTTATCAAAAATAATAGTGCAATAACCTTGAAATCCTTGTTAAATCTTAGAAGTTTTAGTCTTACCTTTCTTGCCAGGTGAAGAACAACACATAGAGTCCCTGTGTAAATCAGCAGCTGGACAGAAATGTGACTTTTCCTCTACTGTCTAGTTTTTTGATTATTCTAGTAGGCAATAATTGATCTTTTAAATATAGCTCTAAGAACGTTCAAATAATGTTATCCTCAGTCTGTTTCTCAATAATAGTTTTACATAAAGCATTTCATCCTCACAGGTAATCTCAAAAAACTAAGCCACTTATAAGCTCTCAGTTCTTTTTGGTCTTTTGATACAAACCTAATACAAACTAGAGTAATGTTGTAGATGTCTGAGAGCCTTTACCTATACAATAGGAATAATAATGTATTGTGATTCATTAATTTGTTATCTACTGAATCAAAATTTGGGAATATTAAAATGTAATATGAGCCAGAATTTCCCTTTCCACTGTACATAAAAAATTAGTCTACTAAATAAATTAATATTATAGATAAGATCTTAAGGGGATATTTATGTGGTATAATTCAGACGATAATGATTGTAATAGAATATTATTGTGCTATAAGAAATGACAAGTAGGATGATTTCAGAGAAACCTGGAAAGACTTACAGAAACTGATTCATAGTGAAGTGAACAGAACCTGGAGAATATTATGCACAGTAACAGCAATATTGTTTGATAAAGAACTATGCATAACTTAACTATTCTCAGAAATACAATGATCCAAGACAATCCCAAAGGACTAATGATGAAGCATACTCTCTGCCTTCAGAGAAAGAACTGATATTGACTGAATACAGACTGAAGCATGATATTTTTCACTTTCTTTCATTTTTTTTCTTTTATTCAAGTCTTCTTGGACAAAAAGACTAATATGGAAATGTTTTACATAATTGCATGTGTGTAACCCATATCTAATTGCCTTTTGTCTAAGAGAGAGGCAGGGGAGGAAGGAATAGAATGTGGAACCCAAAATTTTAAATAAAATTATCATAAGATTTTTAAAAAGAAGATAAACAATTGCCCAGGCCTTAAAACTATCTAGATACAAGTACATATTAATCTAATTCCAAATAATTCATTAAAACTTGGCCCCAAAGAATAATTACTTATAGCATTTTATTGGCCTAGTTTCTTGTCTTTTGTACTTGAGAGTTATTCAACTATGTTTGTTTAAAACTAATTTGGTACATGGATTTTTATTAGTTAAGAAGACTATTTCCTTCCCTATTTAGTCCAAAATTAATAAAGTTTAATGGTAATAATAATTAACAAAGTAGCTGAAGATAATAAAAACATAAACATTTTTGACAAGTTTAAAATGACTATAGATATCTTCAAGGCTTATAGCCCACAGAAGCTGCTTCTATCAGACCAAGTAGCAAACTGTCTAATGAAATCCTGCAGAGATGTTTCCTCAATAAAGGACCAAATGGCATTATTTTCCTCCTGACCTATATACACTATTAATCCACCTCCTCCTATAATGTATAGTCATTTTTTGCATTTGGTAAAACACTATTAATGGAGTCTATTTGGCAGTGAGTAGTTTACATGACATGTTTAAAACTTAAATGCAAATGCAAGATAAAAGAGATAGTGGAAAAAAGATGGGAAGGGGTAATTGGCCCATTAATGACCATAAAACATACTGTATCTGAAAATGACAAATGGAGCAGCCCCTCCAAACAAGCAAGGCAATCATTCTGGTAATACATTCATATCACTCCAAAAGGGGGAAAAATCCTTTTAATTTTCCTTCATTACATGTCATCAGCTCAATTAACCATTATATTTGTAGTAAAATACTGGCAAATTACTGCTTTCTCACTCTGGCTTGCCTTAAGATTGATGGCTGTTAGTATTAATTTGTTTGCTTTTGATGTCATTTCTTCCCCTTTTATAGCAGCATGCATTGGACTATGAATGTTCTCTCTGTTTGCTCCCATTTCAGTATTGCTTACTAACATTTAATATATTTTGCTTTTTTTTTTTAATTTTGCTGACAAAGTTGCATTGATGAAAGCTGACTTGCAAGGTAGATAGCCCTGTGTGTATCAAAATGAGACTGAAACCCCACAATGCACAGTGGGAACCCAACGCAAACTGTTTTTGAATTTCTGTATTAGAATATGTTGTTTGGGTTCAGATTTCCTTCCCTGCCCCCGTACATAATATACTACGCTAAGCCTGCTTTTGCAGCATAATTTGCATAAAGGCTTTCAGTCTTGAATATGTTTGTACAGTGATTGCCCTAGTGCTTTAATCATACTTATTAGTTTTTTTGTTTGTTTTTCAATGATCTAGTTATGATTCTTTAGAAATAGTCTAGCTTTGTTTTTCATTTGTTTGTCATTTGGGGGCATGCCAGGTCATTATTACTGAGATTTTCGATTTTTGTTAATTGCATGTTATCATTAAAGCATGTGAGTTGATACTTGCCAACATACCTGCCAAAAAACAAAACAAAACAAAACAGTATCATGGTGCTAGACCATTTTTGCAGGGTAACTCCTGGAATCTCAGTAACTTGTTTTTGCATCACTTTCTTCCATTATTTTCTCAATGTTTATCTCAATTTCATGAAGTTTTAATACCCATTTTCATGATGCCACTATTCATTCATGAGGATGCAGCTAGAGGAAATTAATACATTTTATGAAAACCAAAATACTTTATAGAACCAGCTGATGGTATAATGAGATTACGTGCTGCTATAATGAGAATAGCCATGGTGCTCTTGGATTAACTGTTTGCTTCCTTTCAATCAATGACATTAATGAACTGTGTGGTATTCTGGGAACTGCAGAAAGCTTTGGCAAAACAGCTCCTTGGTTCCTAAGTCAACAGTGGGAAGGACAACTTTTAAAACCAGTTTGTTCAAGCAGCTTGAGGTGTTGGCAACTACTATATGTGATCTAGCTCATGTGCAAAGATCAAGCAAGAGGGACAGTTGTTGCTGGTAAAAAGTACAAGTTTGCTTTGAATTTTCTTACAGGGCCCAGTACAACTTGCCAAGAGGACTCCTGTTCCAATCAAGGCGTATGCTTGCAGCAGTGGGATGGATTCAGCTGTGACTGCAGCATGACCTCTTTCAGTGGCCCACTATGCAATGACCGTGAGTACCTTACCAGCTCTCATACTCTCTCTTGATATGCATATCTATACACACATGTATATGCTGTGTTATGAACCAAGGATGTTGATTTGTAAATGCTGTGTGGAGAAAAAGAGGCTCCGATTTTCCTTGCTGTTTGTGTGCATTCCTAATGTAATGATAGTAACCTTGTTGAAAAGAGCTTTTTTTTCTCCTTTCCTGAATATGACAATTTCTTTTTCTGATTTTAAAAGAACCTTCAAATTGCATTATATTAAGTGATATTTAATTTCATAACATTATATCCTGAGGCCTGTAATTTCAGTGAACAGTTGACAGGTCTCATTATTTCTCTCTCTACACTTCTTAAGGCATTTCCCTCCCTCTCCCTGTATAAACAGACTCTTTCACATTCCATCCTCCAAGTTCTTTATCCTAAGTTTCAACCAAGTACTGGATTTTATTCCTCCTTAGGACTAGGGGAGTTTGAATATGGCCAAGCACATTCTATAATAGTGGTCTGGTTTTTTTCACTGAGTCAAGACTCTAGGATAGCAAACAGATATTTAAGGGAAAAAATTAACTGGTTTATATTGATGTGATGGATGGTGTTTCTTAGGAAAAGGATGAGTTCTGCCTCATGGAATATTTTGTTGAATTATTTGCTCAAATCATTATCTTTTGCAGTTTTAAGAAAAATGTTCTAGGTTAACACCTCTTGGTTGACTGTAAATGAGATCCCACCATGCCTGTTACCTAATAGCCCACAATATCTTTATTAGGCAAGATTAGCGGTTAGGTGAAAGAAGGTAGGAAATTGGAGGTCAAATTTGGAATCAATTATGTCATGTAGACTAGGTAACTGGAGGCCTTCAATTCCTTTGAGGTTTTAGGCCCCTTTGGATGTTTGTATCCAAACAAAGTGAAACAGATCATTTGCCATCTTTTCTGGGAATATGCCCCATTATATATTCACATAGTACATTTCCCCCTCATTTTCAAAATATCTGATTATGATTGGGAAATATACTTTTTATCTCTGGAACATTTAAAATAAGTTGCAAACTTTGCCAGTAAACTTGATCTGCATTTTCTTAGCTCATCAAGTATACCTTGAGAACAAGAGTGGCATGGTAGAAAGGACATGTTTTGTGAAATTTGGGGAGCCTTTAGGATACTATTTATTATACTCAAGTCATATTTTGAAAGTCTCACTCAAGTCATATCTTGAAAGTCTCAAAATACTGTGTGTCTTCCAAAGCAGTCCAACTTAGGATTATACTGTAAGCCTTGTGGACATTTGGTTTGCATGGCATCATTCAGTCAGTGAATCAGTATTTGTTGAATATTTACTACATTAAAGGTACTGAGGAAACAATGACATATAAGAATTTGTCTCTCCCCTCAAGAAGTTTACAATCTAGTCAGGGGAAAATGACTAGGAAGATGGCATAGTTAAAGATAACCAAAATAAACATCTACTTCAGAAGTGTCGTAAGCCATATATATTGTATGATTTGAGAGGAATGAGATATCATCATGTGATGGAATGGAAGAGGTGGTTTCAGAGATAAGAGAGATTCAAAGGAAGGATAGAATTTCTATGTTTATTTGAGACTGAGAGGCAGAGTGGCATTGTGGATAGAAAATGAATGTTACATTCAGGAAGATATAGATTCAAATCTGTCTCAGATATATGCTGCCTTTTTGATCTTGGACAAGGCACTTAATTTCTCAATGTTCTAAGCAGCAAAGACTCTCAAACTTTTTAATATCATGTGCCCTTTCCCATTCTGGTAAAGCCTGTGGATCCCTTCCCAGAATAATGTTTATTGCTCACATAAATATTTGTAGGTCATGCCAAATTTCCAGTAGAAGTTGGTGAAAATAATGAGATTTTTTTTTCTCATCCAAGTTCATGGACCCTTTAAAATCCATCCATAGATCTTTTAGGGTACCATGGACCCCAACTTAAGAATATCTACTATGAGGCTATAAATTGCTGAGAAAGTGCTAACTTGCATTGGTAGAAGGAAATCCCTCACCTAGGAGCTCCCTATACCAATGAATTCACCAGTCCTGTCTCTATCTCTATATTTGAGACTATGTCTATCTATCTACATATCTATCCAATGGTAAAAACCTGTTCTTCTTCAAGCATTTGGTTGATCTGAACAACCTTGGACAAACTAAATGACAGCTGCATTGGACCAATCTTCAAATACCTGTAAATCACGCTTCCTATGAACAAATCACGGCTAATTGGCTCAGATGAAAGTTACACTTCCTGTAGTTCTCTGACAGTTCTGTCATTTTGAGAGAATGGCAGACTCAGTTTAAAATAAAAAGCAACTTAGTAGTGGAATATACAGTCAAGTTATAACTTACTTTATGAAACAACTTTACTCCTGGAGTGGTGTGTGTGTGCACTGAGTTTTGTAAAGCAATCAAGATCACTGTTTAAGATAATATTGTGGCATTTGGGGGAGTAAAAGAAAATTATGTTGTTTTTTTTTTAATTAAGGTAAAATAAAAAGCCTTAATAATCTATTTTGAAATTCATTTTTTAACATATCAGGATTATTTTTTGTGTCATTCTAGTGATTACAAAGGGCTAATATCTGTTTCTAGTTAAGCATTTGAGACATTTGTTGAAACTCATTATTCTATTCCATACTGCAAAAACTGATCTAAAGCTCTGTAAATATAGTAGATATTGGGAAAAAACACTTTTTAAACTGATAAATCATGAGATTAATCCTCAATGTCCTCAGTCCTCAATCCGCAATGGTGATCTATTTTTCTCAACGATTGACAATCACTATCATGACAGTGGCAGTTCTATATTGTCATCCCCTCTCCAAGGGAAAGAGACCTAACCTTGGTTTCAGGAAGAGATAAAGATTTGAATAGCTTATCATTTAATTCATGACCAGAGTTGTACCTGCACATGTAGTTTTGATGGACTTATCTGTTACATGGTTAACAATGCTTTTCACATAAAAATATCTTTCATTTAGCTGCAGAATATACTCCCCAAAATGTTGCCTAATATATCCTCCTGATTCATAGGAGAGGTTAAAATGTGGTCATGTCATGTTGTTCTTGCTTATGCATTAGGTAAAATTGTAAGAATTTTGCTTATTATGTGTATTTATTATCCTTTTCTCTAAGAAGCATCATGATGTAATCCTAAGTAGCAAAGTTTGTATGTGGTTCATTTATAGAGAAAATGGCTTGGATGTTACTTTGGAAAGATAGGGATGGTGATGACAATGATAGGGCTGTTGTTTGGTTATTGCTTGCAGATAGAGAAAATGTCATTCAATAATTGTGCCTCCTGATAATCCTGTTGCACAAAGCAGCACTAAAATGACTTTGGAGGACTCTTAGAGTACATAAATTCTGATTAAATCAATTTTTTTTTCCTAGTGGATTTTGTGAAAGCCTGTGATTTCCACTTGGTTTAAAGATTGGGGTGTTAGCAATGAGAATTAGTTTGGTGTGAACCAATATTTTAAAACAAAGCCTTTTTTAAAAGATTATTATCTTGATATCAATGATAACATCCAAATGTTTCATTTTCCTCGGGTAAATACTAAAAAATAATGACAATCACTTTGGCTATTTGTTACTAACATAGTAGGAACAGAATAGAGCATTTTCATCATTTTAGGGTAATCAAAATATGCCTTATCTCTATTTTCTCAACCTTTTTTTTAGAATTTACATAAATGTTCAAATTGTTGCTGAAATTTTAGACAAAACCCTTTCTACATTGAAGCTGACATTTTCACTATGTCAGTAAGGTGGTCTTAATCCCATCTCTAGTCTATGCGTTCATCACTGCATGGTATAACTTCAGACTTCTGCTTGTATGGCAAACAATAGTAAGAAATGGACCTTTAAAAAAAAAAAACAAATTCAGATGTCTTTTCAAATACCTCTAAAGTACGTTTCAGTTCTGAATTTTAGGATTTACTATGATCCAATATACAAATCTTTGAAAAGTTGTCTCTCCAATTCAATATATAATTGGACTTTTAAGAAATTGAGTTTGCTTAAACACAAACAAAAAAATTGTGATAGACGAACTTTGTTGCTTATGAGTATGTTATTATTATTATTGAATCATACCAACTAATCAATTTTTAAAACTCCCCCAAGAGGAGATTGTACTTCAAACGTGTTTGTGTATAGTAGAATTTCTGAAAAAGTCATTTGAATAGTCTAACTATTCACAGGTATCAACTATATCGCACTTTCAATACCATATTTACAATATTGTACTTACTTATCTCAAATAAATCAGTTCCTTTCCATTCCCACTGCCAAAGCCCTAGTTTAAACCTTCATTAACACTCACATGGACCATGGTCATAACATCTTAATTGATGTCCAGGCTCTTCCCACACCAATCTCTTCTACACACAGCTGCCAAAGTGATATTCCTAAAAATGAACCTATTTCATGCTCCCTACTCAGAAACTTTCAATGGATCTCAAATTCCTTCCAAATAAATTCCAGACTAAGTAGTGCAATTGTGATGCCATTGGTCCTCTTCAAGGACAAACAACACAATGCAATCTCCATTCACTCTTCTAGCCTAATCTTCTGCTATTCTCATGCACATTTACAAGTTCCAAGCAAACTGGATTAAACTATACAGAGTCTACCAGACACGTATTGTTCTCTTTATCAGCAAAGCTTTCCTCTCCTCCTTGTCTGCCAGAATCCTATGCATCCAAAACAATTAACATCATCATATAAACAAAAAGATCAAAAACCCACTTATTTATTTCAATAGGCTCATAAAAAGCAGTTTTCAATTTATAGCTCCAATCTCTATTAAAAGCATTGAAAGAGACTTCTTTAATAACATCAGTATGTATATATATATATATATATATATATACTTTAAAACAAGAACTATTTTTGGGGTGGCAAAGAATTGGAAATTGAGGGGATGCCCATCAATTAGGGAAGAGCTAAACAACTTATGGTATATAATTGTCATAAAA